GAAAACCATGTTGACTGATCACATCCATACCCATGATAAAATCATCTTCAATGTCTGCCACTAAAACGCTATGCCGAAACTTCAAATTCCCTAACTCCAATTCCATGAAAGCCTCTCCCCGTACAACGGCCATTTCCCCCGTAACTGTACGTAAATACACTCTTCTTCTAAGAGGCATCATCTTCAATCCTTGCACCGAGTTAGTCCGCACCAACGATACCATAGCGCCTGTGTCCACAGTCATTCGAATTCTTCTACCATTGACCTTCCCGTTGATCACCAAACTGTCAGCGGTTCTTCCTAGACTTCTAATGGAAAAAATCCTGGGGGCTCGGTTCTCCCCAGTCAATACTCGCCCCTTAGTATTGACTGATTTTAGTTTTCCTGGTGCCTACGTTCTCTGGATGGTGAACGGGATCGCATTTGAACGCGGCAATCCCGTTTAATGTGGCCATTCCTGCCACATCTAAAGCACCTTATGCCCTGGAATCTTCTCTGGTTCTCTGTCTGGGTGTTGTTGACTCCCTTGTTTATTAGTAGCTCACATAGTTTGTCGACTTTCTTACACATCTCCTCCAAACCTCTGTGAGTGCTTTCGGGCTGTTCCTCGACCGTTACCGATCTTATCTTCGGTCTAGTGATGGCGCTAAAAGCAGCTTCGATTTCCAGCACCCTGACCAGTGCTTCGCTGCTGGTAGAAAATCGGGATATTTGCAGCGCCCTCTGTAATTCGTTGTCCCTCAGTCCGCTGATAAAGCACTGAGCAGCGAGTTCCTCCCTAAATCCTTCCGGTGCTTCAGGATACGCTAGGTGTACCAGCCGACGTAAGTCTGCTTCAAATTCCTGCAGACTCTCTCCGGACCTCTGCAGGCGTGTCTTGATCTGTGCCTGGTAAAGTTGGCGTCGATGTTGGTCGCCATATCTTCTGTCCAGTGCAGCGACCAAAGTTTGGTATTCCTGCTGTTGGGCTGCAGGAATAGTTTGCAACAGTTCCAGGGCAGGGCCACGCAGCGCGATGACAAGTGCCGCTGCTTTCTCCTGGTCAGTCCATCCGTTGGCAGCGGCGGCTGCTTCAAACTGGCGGTGGTACATCGTCCAGGTGGTTTGTCCATCGTAGGTCGGGGCCTTGAGGTTCGCAGTTCCATGAACGCCAGGTGTCTTTACTTGTACCTTGGTCTTCTGTAGGTCCATCTCTAATTTTTCCATTTTCTGCTGAAGGCGTTCCTCCAGATCTTCTACGGCTTCTTGAAGGTGGATTTCTTGCCTTCTTTCTAGTTCTTCAAAGTTCTTCTTAAGACGGTTTTGATCTTCTTGTCTTTCTTTCTGGCGGTGCCTCTCTATATCTTCTAAAATTTCCCTCCATTCATTCTTCTGACGGATTTCTAAATTGCCTAAAATTTTCTCAAGCCGGTCCTGCTCTTCTTGTTTTTTCTTGTTGTCGTTGTAATTTTTCCTCTTCCTTATCTTTATGTAGTCTTTCTTGTTCTTCTTGTTTTTCTTGTTGTCGTTGAATTTTCAAATCTTCAAAAATTTTCTCAAGCCGGTCCTGTTCTTCTTTTTTTTCTTTCTGGCGACGCACTTCTAGGTTTTCTACAATTTTCTCCAACCGTTCTTGTCTAATTTCTTGATTTTCCATAAGCATTTTCTGCAGTTTTTCTTGTTCTTCTGCTTTCTCTCTTCGCATATTCTCCATAAAATCGCCCAATAATTTGCTTACTTCCTCCATTTTCCTCGCTTGTTCCCTTGTACCAACCATAAAAATACTCTAATCCGGTCCAAAAATCTTCCAATCCACTTAATTTCTTCTTAAAATCCTCTTGAATCGCACTTCCGACACCAATTGTTACGGATTCCGTGGGTCCACTAATTTAAACTCACGATAAAATACTTAACAATTTATTTTTCTCACTTTATACACAATTACTAACTTATAACACACAACAAACTAACTATTTATAAGATTCCTTCACCAAATTGTCCGATTTTCAATTTCCACGCGGTATATTCAAATTTCAAAAACTGTCTCAGTTGTCGATGGCTCCGGCTTATATACTCTATTGACTGCTTCTCGAAATTTCCCCAATTCTCGGAAAGCGTACTTCTTCATACCAGACAATTCCATTGTCTGATTCCCTTACTTCTCAACTTGACTAAAAGATGGCGCCTGAAAAAGTCTTTTAATTTCTGGCGGATACGTTGCGGTTGTGCAGGCAACCAGTAATACATTTTTAATTTCTGGCGGATAGGCCATTTTTCTTGACAATACTTTTAAAACAACAATTTTAACAATCTTTTCCAAATTTTACCCTCTTTCCAAAAACTGCTTATGTATGTCATTATGAATACTCACTTTCATCCCTTAAGGGATATCTGTGCAAAATTTCATACACCAAAGACAGATTTTATTTTTTTCTTAAACAAGATTTATTCGTCAATACATCCCCTTAGAGGGCGAATTTCAACTCCTAAAACATATTTTAACAATTTTTTATGCAAACTTTCACAATTTAACATCTTAGCAATCTTAACATCTATCCATATTTATAAATCTTATCATCTATCCATATTTTTTTTTAAATAAATAGTTATACCACTTACATTAGGACCTTTGAAAAGGTTGGGTTTCTTTCACCCCGTTCTTTATTTGCCTTTTTTCCACTATAAGTCCCACTTATACAGCCAGATACGAAGCAAGATCTATTATATAGGGTTTTTTTAATCACACTCATTGTTACATTGCTAATAGTTCAATAAAATAACTATAAATTTAAAAAAAAAACTAGTAAAAACACAGTTAAATCGTATTCTAACAATGCAAATGATCAATCTAACCCACTTACAGTGCCTCTGGTGTCAAACCTCAAAATTATAACATAATCCTTCCTCTAATTAAATCCTTAACGCCACGCAAAAATCCATCTATCCAGAAAAAGATCGCGAGAAATAGATTAATAGAACAGCGAGCAGCGGCGGATTCATCCTAATTAATAATCCAGTGGAACGAGCCAATCCTGGACCGTTTAATCAGGCTAATCGTGATGATACCGCCGCGTTGCCACGTCGTTTTACGATTAAGATCATTTGAAGGCTTGAAGCTTATGATAGGGCAACGCCGATGGACTCCACCGAAAGCGGACGGTGCTGACTAGGCGCGAAATTCCACAGCTTAATATTTCTGGGCGGAGGAAAATTGACAGACGTAGGGAAATTTCAGGCGGGAAAGAGGAAAATTTGAGACGGACGGATTTAATATGTGATGCGATAGGGGGTGCCTTTGAAAAGTATATACAGGATGGTTCGAACTGTATTCCGGAAATTTTGGCAGCATATTCTGCAGATAAAAATAAGTAAAAAAGTTCGTATACATATGTATATCCTAAAATGCGTAGTTTCGGAGATATAGGGGTATAGAAGTTTAATTTTTTCCAAATCATTTCTGAAGTAACGTCAATATTTGGATGAAACTCGGCTAAAATTTAATATTTTTTGACGGTTCAAAGTTCGTTTAAAAGGTAGAATCAATAGGTATCAAATTTTGGAACTTATAATAATAAAAAAACCTGGCAAACATTCCTTGGTCCAAAAATGTTCAGATTTTTACAAACTTATTCATATTTTCACTAATAATAACTTATTTGTCAAGATTTTTTTTGGTGGTTGTTTTTAGAGTCTTTATAAGCAACTCACAAAGTTTGAAGTAGGTATTAATAAAAAAACTTTTTTGGGATTTTTGGAAAGTATCGTAAACAAAAGAAAATTGCATAATTACGAATAGTGAAATTGGTCAAAAAGAAACAACAAATCTTAAAAACGATTTATTTTAGGTAGGTATAGAAGCATGTATAGTCAAAAAGTACCAAATTGAAAAGCCTTTAGCGAAATAAAAAAGTGGGTTTCCATTTGAAAAAAAAATGATTTATGATCATTTTTAAATCGCTCAATTCCATAACAGCTGCGGCCATTATTATATGACATTCGAACAATTTAATTTTTGAAATAGATAGCCACATGTCTTCTGTTTATGGTACAGTGGCTGCGGTAATCACTAAATTTGACGTTTTGGGCTATACACATATTTTTGACAGGCAGTTTTTTTCGTCCAGAAATTTTAAATATTTTTTTTTCTCAAAAACTTTTTTAATATCAAAATTCATAAAATTTTACAGAGAATTTAAGTATGTTAAGTTAAAATAAGAAAGTTGCTGTAAACTTCCGGTATTTCCGGAAGTGCCGCCGTATTGAAAATATTTTTAATCGATAGATCTCGTTGTGAAATAATGATGTGCCAAAAATCTCTCCGATCTAGATATTGTAGTTCTCTAGAAATTTCTAATGCACGCTCAGCCTGGGACACCCTGTATATTTTTAACCAAATCTTTTTCACTCAATTATAATCATACGTCAATCGTCGTCTCCTGACATGCTTACGTAATGTTTCTCCCTTTTCCAAGAAGAAAAATATATAATATAAAAGGAGACCGCGACTGAAAGAAAAACAAACCGTAAACCGTAACCTTCACTATTTCACGTGTTCTTCTCCTAGCAGTACGGCGGTACTTGATGGGAAACATAACCGAGTCGGATATTTATTTTTTCATGGGTTCAGCGGTACGCTAACGTACGGAGCTGGTACCACAACCGAGAGAAAACCAGAAAGAAACAGAAGAAAACCAGAAAGAAGAAACAGAAAGAGAGAGAGAGAGACAAAAGAGAAAAGGTCTTCTATAAAAAAGTAGAGACAGTACTGCAGTTTCAGTTATGGTTTCCATACAAGCTTTGCATTAGGGTGCATTAGATAAGATGCACAAAAAAAATAATTATATAAAAATTTTTTTAGTTGCCTTGAAAATATCGTTTACAATGATTAAAAAAAAATGTTGGTAAAGTTTGAACTTTTAATATTAAGAAGTGTCTCATCGTGATTTTCTATTTCCCATTCAAAAAACACGGGATTTTTTTTAATTTTATTGCTTTGTAACAAATTCAAAAGATTCAACTTTATGAAAGCCAGGTGGCCAGAATACTCCCAAGTGCTGGATGAGGAAATAGCCAATTTGGCCCCAACACCAAGCAACTACCACATCTTTGTTGAGTCCCTGCGAAAGATATCCAGACGATATATTCCTAGGGGCTGCAGACAACATTACATTCCAGGGCTCTCGAATGCCTCAAGGGACACCCTGGAGCAGTACGAACAATTGTTTGCGGAAGATCCATTCAGCGATCAAACCATCACCTGCGGAACAGCTTTAATGACAGCTCTCAGCGAGGCACGTGAGAAGAAATGGATAGAAACCCTGGATAGAATGGACATGTCTCATAGTAGTAAAATAGCTTGGAATCTAATCAAGAAACTGGATGGTGACCCAAAACTAAGCAAGGCCCCTGCCAATGTAACACCCAATCAAGTGGCCAACCAACTCCTTCTAAATGGCAAATTCAACTCCAAACGCCAGAAAACCAAAATCAAACGCCTAATACCAACTGAAAACACCAACTTTCAGAAATCATTTACCATGAAAGAGTTGAACAATGGTATAAATACCATGAAGAATGGAAAAGCCGCTGGGAATGACGATATGTGCGTGGAACAGATCAAAAATGTCGGTCCTGGAACCAAAGAATGGATACTTAAACTTTTCAACGTATGTCGCGAAACCTTTCAAATTCCAAAACTGTGGCGGAAGTCAAAAGCTCTCCTTAAACCCGGAAAAATCCAGAGTCTCCGAAAAGCTACCGACCCATATCCCTCCTTTGCCATCTGTTTAAGCTCTACGAAAGACTAATCCTCTACAGAATAGAGAAGACCGTCGATTCAAAGCTGATTCCACAACAGGCAGGATTCAGACCTGGAAAGCACCAGTCAAATCCTCGCATTGACAGAACATATCGAGGAGGGTTTTGAGAATAAACACATCACAGGGCTGGCCCTAGTCGGCCTAAGTTCCGCCTATGACACGGTAAACCACAAGATATTACTGCATAAAGCCAATGAGACCTTGAAAGATTACCACCTAGTCAAGATACTCGAATCCTTGCTCTAAAACGCAGTTTTTCGTGACGCTCGAGGGCAAAAAGAGTCGATGGCGAAACCAGAAGAATGGGTTGGCACAAGGGAGCGTGCTGGTACCAATTCTTTTCAACATATATACAAATGACCAACCTATTCCAGATAACACTAGAACCTTTGCATATGCAGATGACCTAGCAATAACAGTTGAAGGCAAAGGGTTCGAAATATCGAGGAGAAACTAGAAAGCGCCCTAAAAACAATGTCAACCTATTACAAAAAGAATTCTGTAAAACCCAACCCCACCAAAACTAAAGTGAGTGCATTCCACCTTAATTCGAGACAGGCGACCCGCAGACTTAATGTTACATGGGACTACTAGAACACACAGATAAGCCTACCTATCTTGGCGTCGTGCTGGACAGAACATTGACTTACAAATATCACTTCGAAAAAACACACAAAAAGTAGAAGCACAGAAATTCCCTTATAAGGAAGCTGACCAATAGTAAATGAGGAGCCAAACCTACCGTGGTCAGAACTTCTGCTCAAGCTCTGTGTTTTTCAACTGCAGACTATGCCTCCCCAGTGTGGTGTAGATCGGTCCATGCAAAAAAGGTGAACATCAGTCTGAATGAAACATGCAGAATAGTGACAGGTTGTATGAAACCCATCCCCTTAGAAAACCTTTACAAGGCCGCAGGTTTTACAAGCCCCGATTTACGCAGAAAAGCTCATGAACATACTGAGAAGTTAAAACAAACCTTTGATGCTCGTCACTCAATTTTTGGCCAAGAGTGCGGCACAGGTAGACTTAAATCCAGACGCCGTTTCCTAAGCCACCCCCTGGATGAACCTCCCTCCCTCTACCCCTTAGAGAGGACCCACCAAATGGTGTTTCTAGCGACTGGAAAACCTGGAGAATGCTCAACCGAATCAGAACTGGGGTGGCCCCAGTAAAATCCAATTTGATCGAATGGGGTTTGCTGGACAGAAATGACGACAAATGCGACTGCGGCGCCTTTCAGGACATGGAACATCTTCTTCAATGTCCTGCGTGCCCCCACAGATGTACCCTCGATGACCTATGGCTGGCTAAACGGGAAGCATTGGACGTAGCCCATTACTGGGTTAATAAACTATAATATAATCCGAATACGAAAAAGTAAAAAAAGTAAGTCTAACAAATCAGCGTGTTGTAGTAAACATCAATACATATTCATGTAGCCGTACCATCCTTTTCTCGAAGGTATTAGCGGTACTTTTGACCACCCTGTAACTTCGTTGTGGATAAAGCTAGAATATTAATTTTCACTACACATGATGACATAATATAGCTGGCTAAATTAAAAAAATATTTAGTAATTACACCTCATAGTTTATGAATTATCGCTTGTCAAATTTCTTTAATTTCGACATTGACTCCCTGACAGATCATCAAAATTCAAAGGTGCTTTTAGATGTGTCACAAACTTCAAATTTCGAAAAAAATAAAAATCTCGAAATATTCTTATGGATCAAATGTTAGCTGTCACCGACTTTCCGGCAATGTTGCAAAATCCGGTATTTAACCATAGTAAATTTTTGTTATTTTTAATATAAAATTCAATTATTGAAGTGATTAAAAAGTACTCCCTCAATACAAAAAGAAATGCAACGAAGTTACAATTAAGGAATAAATAATAAATCAAATTCAATACAAATTTTACTGGTTTGAAATGACGCGTAGATAATTGTGTCACCTATCAGCATTTGACTGAATAGTTGACAGAGGGCGCGAGCCTCTGAAGAATAATATTATGGCGTGTCTAGTTCTCTGCTACCGTATTTACACCGTATATCTTAAAATCGCGTTTGATTTTTCTATTTTTATTAAGATCGTTAAAAATACGTTTTTATGTGGGATTATTCTTTATTGCCCCAATATTAAATTTACTTTTATATTTTTTACTACTAGAAATTAAAACTTAAATTTTTATAATTAACAGGTTACTGCCATTTTTATCGAAGCACTGAACACTACCAAAAATGTTCCAGGTGTTCGAGGGTTCGTATGGTTAGATGTGTATTTTGTGGATTTTGCGTTTGGTGTTAAATACTTTGAGTTTTCAATTTTGTTTTATTGTACCCTCTTTATTATTTTTGTAATGAAGGGTGTTAAAGTTTGTTTTGTGAAGGGCTGTCTAAATAACTCTAAAGGCTCTCCAGAAAAAGTTTTTATAACTGTTCCTTTGGATGAAAGCCGTCGAAAAGCCTGGTTTGAAGCGGCAAGACAACAATATGTCAGCAAAAGTACGAGATTCTGCTGTGAAGATAATTTTTATATAAGTTCCTTAAGTTTTATTTTACAATTAATTTTATATCCACTTTAAAATACATTTAGAAAAATGGTTTTTATTTACCTTTGTACCCGGTGGCAAACCATGACACTTTTGATAGGTGACGTCAGAGATTGCAAAAGTGTAAATTTGAAATTCTTAACATCGATTAATTTTTGGTGAAATTGAAGTAAAATAAAAAAAATACGGGTGTCATAAAATAGTATGAAGATTAATTATTTGCAATAAAAAAACTATGGTTAAATTCCGGATTATCCGCTTCATATGGGATTTTTTGTACATGAGTGAAATATTCACGGTAATTAAATAAAAAAAATATATTTTATATCTACTCTACTATTCCCCTTCTCATTGGTTCTGTTTTCCGTTGGAACCGATTCGAACCGGGTGCCGCTGCGCCGAAACCTGAGCCCGTCGCGAGGTCTGAAATGTGTCGAAACGTCGTGTTCTACACGGGCCGGCGGTCGGACGTCAAAGACGTGCCGGGAGGAGAGGGGGGAAGCATTTCGGCGGACAGCTCCGTAACGCGACACCAAACAAAACGAACGTGGCGAAGCAGGGAAGAGAAGAAGAAAAGGTTGCAAAGATTTCTGGGAAGTTGGACGACGAATATTAAATGTACTGGCTGGTAGAAATTAAGAGAGGCTGGTGGTAAATGAGGCGCTAATACTGTCTTTTTGTTTCACGTGTTTTCTACGTAAATAGTAGTAAAAGGGGTAAATCTGCTATTCATCATCATCATTTTCAGCTTATTCAACCATTTCCAATTATGGTGTAGCCTCCCTCGCATATTTAGATAATCTCTTTATCTATTGTTGGCTATGTACGTCCAAGTGATACAGGATGTCCCAGAAATTAGTGCAAGTATTTTAACTGGTAGTATAGTTCAACCCCAGAAACACGCCTACGAGGTTGTAAAAAAAAATTGGATTTTTTTTTAGTTTTTAGTTGAAAATCATAATTTCTTGATAATATGACAACATAGGTATTAGATTAAATTTACAAGAAAAAAAAATCCAGAAAACATTCAGTGGTTCTCAAAATTTTAGCAAAAAATCATTTTTTTGGAAATTTTCAAAGTAAAATAACTATGTTATTTTGGAATTATTTGAAAAACGATATAGAGAAAAGATGTTTCTTTTATCGAGATCTACCACCCCTGAAAATACTTGCACTTATTTCTGGGACACCCTGTATAATCATAAGGCCAGTTTCTCAAAAACATTCAACATTCACGATTACTAAAACCAGGGTTGCCACAAGAAAATTTTTGATTGTGCAGAACTTGACCATAAAAATGTGTAGCATTGTGTAGCAATCCATGACCAATAATTGTAAACTATCCAATAAGACCAAGAATAAGACGTAAAATCGCCAAATTTTAAAGCATAATTATTACGAGTCTTGATAAGAGTCTCACTTCCACTCGTTTGTATACGTCAATATATTCATTTTCCATTTCATTTCCTCTCATGCCAGCAAATATTGCAATGTCGTCAAAATTCATGTCGCGAAACTAACGATATATGGAAATATAACTAACGATATACTAACGATATATGGAAAAATTAGACCGGTTAAAAAGTCTGTTTAAAAACTGTAAACAATTCAGGACTGTTTAATCGGCCAAATTTGTCCATAGAAACTGCAGTCCTTGCTGATATGGGAGGAAAAGTAAAATAGTAATTGAATATTATTCACGTATGCCATCGAGTGGACCGAACTACAGTGAAATTTGGCCAAAGTACGTGTTATGTATTATTTAAGGAATTAAGCAATCCTGTCTATTTACCGTTTTTGACTCGACCAATATAAGATGACCGAAAATGATATTTGTCAGTTCAAAATTTAAAGTTCACTTGCGGACTCTTTTAATGTAACTTAGATAACTTAAAAGCAAAAAAAACAGCTTTTGTCAGCTGATTTACTGTTCTGGTATTAGTTTTTATAATAAATATGTAAAATCTCAAAATGTGTAGCACAGGCCATTGCGGTGTAGCTGTGCAGTCATGGAAGCAAATGTGTAGCAAAATACACAATTGTGTAGCTTGTGGCAACCCTGTTTAAAACAAAAACGAGGAAAATCTGTAAAGTCTCCTTGTTCACAACGATACAATTTTTTTTTTCAAAGTTAATTTTTGTTTTTCTCTTTCTTCTCTTCGATTTTTCTTACTTCTTTGATAATTCTTTCTTTTTCTATCATTCTATCTTACAGCGAAATACCTATAGGACTTTTTTGAAGTAATAAACTATCTATGAAAATAATTTACTCTAAAATACTGTCTTGTATAATTCTCAAGTCATTAAAGTCTGTATCTTCTATTGTCCAATTCTGTATACGATTAAAATTAAACTCGTAGTAAATCATGTTAGCAAACCCCTCAACCCCCTTCAACCCCCTCAAGTCATCGTTTTTACCGCTCGGACGACCCGCGAC